CTCGGAGAACAGCGGCCTGTGTCCAGGATGTCTCTCTTGGGGAACAGCGGCCTGTGTCCAGGATGTCTCTCTTGGGGAACAGCGGCCTGTGTCCAGGATGTCTCTCTTGGGGAACAGCGGCTTGTGTCCAGGATGTCTCTCTTGGGGAACAGCGGCCTGTGTCTGGGTGTTTTTTTCTCAAGGAACAGTGGCCTGTGTCTGGGATGTTTCTCTTGAGGAACAGCGGCCCGTGTCTGGGATGTCTCTCTTGGGGAACAGCTACTTGTGTTCGGGAAGCTTCTTTCGGGGAACAGTGGCCTGTGTCGGGGGAAGTCTCTCACAGGGAACAGCGGCCTGTATCCGGGAAGTTTCTCTTGGGGAACAGCGGCCTGTTCCCGGAACATTTCTCTTTAGGAACAGCGGCCCATGTCTGGGAAGTTTTTCTCGGGGAACAGTGGCCTGTGTCCAGGAAGTCTCTTGAGGAACAGTGGTCTGTGTCTGGGAAGTCTCTCTTGGGGAACAGCAACCCGTGTCTGGGAAGTCTCTCAGGGAAAAGCGACCTGTGTTTTGGGAAGTTTCTCTCGGGGAACAGCGGCCCATGTCTGGGAAGTCTCTCTCAGGGAACAGCGACCGGTGTTTGGGAAGTTTCTCTCGGGGAACAGCGGCCCGTGTCTGGGAAGTCTCTCTCAGGGAACAGCGACCTGTGTTCGGAAAGTTCCTCTCAGGGAACAGCGGCCCATATCTGGGAAGTTTCTCTCGGGGAACAGCAGCTCGTGTCTGGGGAGTCTCCTCTTGGGGAACAGCAGCCCATGTCCAGGAAGTTTCTCTCGGGGAACAGCAGCCCATGTTCGGGAAGTTTCTCTTGGGTAACAGCGACCCGTGTCCGCAAAGTTTCTCTTGGGGAACAATGGCCCGTGTCTGGTAATTCTCAGCTCCTCTCTTGTCAGAGCTGCTACAACCTGCAGAAGGCACAGACTTTCCAGGCACAGGCCACTGTTTCCACCAGAAGAGAGGCCCCGAGGAGGAAGGAGGCCTTTCCCCACAATGTGTTGGCTTTACTTGATGCTCCTAACTAATAAATATTTCAAACAGACCCATAAGTGTTTTGAACTTTTGGATGCATTTTGTTTATATTTAGGCTTGTTGGCTTGGAAAATGTCATCTCTGATCAGGAAGGACAGAATATACCAGGTTTGCAGGGTGAAAGAAATGCAGCAAACCCTAAGGCCCCGTTAACAACATTAAAAAAAAAAAAAGACCTAGAATCTTCTGATAGGCAGAAACTCCTGTATAAGGGGCATGGCCCCAGTCTATATAATTCTCTAGCCACAACCACCTGGATCAGGCTGTGACACTTCACACCTCAGCTGTCACATCTCCTTCACCATCAATGAAGGGAGGAGCAGCCATTTGGAGGAAAGGGGTGGGGGAGATTCCAGCCTGACAGCTGTATAAAGATATCTTCAAGCAATGAGTTGTTAAGAGGGAAGAGATGGGTTATACAGTTGTGCTCAAAAGTTTGCATCCCCTGGCAGAAATTGTGAAATGTTGGCATTGATATTGAAAATATGTGTCTGATCATGCCAAAAAATACTCTTTTATTGAAGGATGATGATCATATGAAGCCATTTATTATCAAATAGTTGTTTGGCTCTTTTTTAAATCAGATTGATAACAGAAATCTCCCAAATGGCCCGGATCAGAAGTCTCCGCCCCCTGGAATGTTTGGCCTTGGTACGGACACACAAGGTGACACACACGGGTTAAAATGCCAATTAGAGGTTAATTTCCCACATCTGTGGCTTTTTAAATTGCAATTAGTGTCAGTGTATAAATAGTCAATGAGTTTGTTAGCTCTTACATGGAAGCACTGACTAGGCTAGATACTGAGCCATGGGGAGCAGAAAATAACTGTCAAAAGTCCTGCGTAACAAGGTAATGGAACTTTATAAAGATGGAAAAGGACATAAAAAGATGTCCAAAGCCTTGAATATGGGTTTCCCTTTGTATCCTGGACAATTGTTCTGTCAGTTATGGCTGCAATCTTTCTTGGTCTACTGACCTTGGCTTGGTATCAAGAGATCCCCAAACTTTCCACTTCTTAATAGGTGATTGAACAGTGCTGATTGGCACATTCAAGGCTTTGGACATCTTTTTATGTCCTTTTCCATCTTTATAAAGTTCCATTACCTTGTTACGCAGGACTTTTGACAGTTCTTTTCTGATCCCCATGGCTCAGTATCTAGCCTAGTCCGTGCATCCACGTGAGAGCTAATAAACTCATTGACTATTTATGCACAGACACTAGTTGCAAATTTAAAAAGCCACAGATGTGGAAATTAGCCTCTAATTGGCATTGTAACCTATGTGTCAACTTGTGTGTCTGTACCAAGGCCAAACATTTCAGGGGGCGGAGACTTCTGATCTGGGCCATTTGGGTGATATCTGTTGTCATTATGATTTAAAAAGGAGCCAAACAACTATGTGATAATAAATGGCTTCATATGATCCTCATCCTTCAATAAATGAGCATTTTTTGGCATGATCAGTCAGATTTTCAATATCAATGCCAAAATTTCACAATTTCTGCCAGGAGATGTAAAATTGTGAGCTCAACTGTATGTGAGGGTGACAGGAACAAACAAGGGAAAGCTGTAGACACTGATTATGTGGTAGGGCTGCAATTGCAACCCTACTGAGGAGAGCCTACCTACCTCCCAGTATACAGAAAAAGACTGCTAGGAGCCTCCTGGAACTGTGGAGGATGTAGTGCCCAGGAGACGGCATCTTCTAAGTGGAGAACTGTATGGTGTAACAAACTTGCTCATCAGACTTGGACGCGGAGTTCCCCTTTTTTATTAGAAGTATGCCTCAATCCTTTATTCTCCTTCCCCCTCCCTTCCTGAGAGGCACAGGGACAGATGTGTAAGTGTTAAAAGTTGCTGGCAGGCTGGAGCAGCAGAGCTACAAAGCCCCCCCATGGAGGCAGAGCCTCTCAGTCTAAGAACCCGTGTAGGCTCACACATCCAAAAACAGATAAGGCAGCTTCTCCCAGGAATTGAAAGAGATTGTAAACCTCATAAAACCTAACAGTTAAAGGTGACAGAATGAAATGAACATTCCTCAAGTCAGGTTTTTCCCCTATGTTTCATGTCATGGATTATGACAGATGTTGGTTCTAATTCAGAGTTTGCCCGACTGACCCCTCCCAAAACAGCGTATTGGCCAGTATTCAGAGCCACCCCCCCCCCCCCCTGTAGGGGGACTTTAAAAGACAGGCTGGCAAGCCTAAAGAGTTAAGCTAAAGAGATCTCCTAATTTTAACATCGTAACAGCAGGAGATCAAAGACCCTTTCCGCTCTGCAACTTGGATCTGCTTACCTTAAGGCTGAACATGGCAAGTAACTTAACCTTTTAACTTCTCCCTGTTATCTCTGTGCTGAGCTGTTTTCTATGTATATATATATATATATATATATCTAGTTACATTTTCTTTGTACATATTTTATTGCACCTGTTTGACTTTTTTAGTAATAAATCTTTCTTTCTGAAAGTGTTAAACTGTTTCTAAGCGCTTACCTTGCAATTCACGAATTCCTGCCTTTTGAAGAGACGCTACTGTGTTTGTTTAATCCTCTGCCCAATCGGCCTGCAGTGACTGTATTGGACAGGCGACTTTTCAACCATTACAGTGTATATTTGATAAAGAGAGTTTCCCCTTTCTCTGTACAAAAAGGGGTGGTGGCAGTGAAGGGTTAGTTGCGTAATTAACCTGACCCAGTAACAAGCGCATTCAGGCTGCCGGTGCGTCGATTGCATTCCATTAGCTGGACAATCGTCATGCAGGTCGCAGCTGAGTGTGGCATTGTTACGCACGTCACATTGCGGTTTTAGATCGGCCGGTCCTTTGGTCACGAGTTTGGTGAGAAGGTCTGGGGTCTGATGCCGCGGGCATGACGTATTATTGTTGGTCGCGGTCGTGTGCGATTGTCGCATGTTGAGGGTGGCGATTGAGCGACCGTGACATATGGGACTACAAGTCCCGGGAGGAAGGTGTGCTGCAGAAAGTAGGAAAAGGAAGAAGCCCGGGCTTGGGGCAGTCTCATGTGCAGAGTGAGTGGTGACTGTTGGAGGGTGCCAGGAAGTCAGAGATGCTTCTTTTGTCAGAGTGAGACTGTGCTGCTGCATTCACATAGAGACCACAGCTGTTGGAGAGATCCTGCAGGCTGGATGAAAGGGACATCATTGGTGTCATGAGAGATCGCCGCTACAGAGTCCAAAGTCGCTACCAATACTATAGGTTCTGATCAACAGAAAGCAGGAGGAGGATTCTCAAAAGACTGCATGGTGGTGAGAGACCACTGGTCTCAACCTCCCTAATCTCTTAAAGGAATAGCGCCACCCTTAGGACAGAGTGAGCACTAACACCCTTTACCATGAGATGCAAATAGAGTGCAACAACATAGCACTGTGGGCCCTGTTCTAAGATCAAAGTTCCAATCCAATCAATAACCAAAATGTCTTGCCTTTAAACTGTGCCTGTTCCCATATGAACGCTCAGGTGCCTGTAGCTCGATGGTTGCAGCTCTAAGTACATGAGCTACTTTTGAAGCAGAAAAGGGTGTTTTTGGCCCCATAGGCTTCAATGGAAATGCCTAAAAATGCTTGAAATAAGCTTTTTGCAACCCTAAAATAGATAGCTTCCTCCTTGAAATGTGCTTTCCATTAAATAAAACCAACATGTTTAATCTTAAATACACCTGAATATGCCTTCAGGGAAAAAAAAAAAAAAAGATCCAAAATTGCCTGCAAAATATCACACTCAGGTATAACTGCAGCAGTCATAACCCAACTTACCTGTGCCAATTCCCACTGGGAGCAGCCTGCCTACTAATCTCTTATATTCCAATCCTAATATTATGAAACCAGTATAGTCCAGATAATTCTCCACTATCTGTCTACAGAAAAACCTGACCATGTCTATGAGGATGGAGGAGGACCAAAGTCACATGACTGAGCAGATACTAAACCTCACTCTGGAGATTATCTACTTGCTGATTGGAGAGGTGAGGATTCTGGGAGGTCACATGACATCACTCTTATCGCTATTAATAAAACACAGACCTGACTGGAGAGGTGAGGAGGATTCTGGGAGGTCACATGACATCACTCTTATCTCTATTAATAAAACACAGACCTGACCGGAGAGGTGAGGAGGATTCTGGGAGGTCACATGACATCGCTCTTATCTCTATTAATAAAACACAGACCTGACCGGAGAGGTGAGGAGGATTCTGGGAGGTCACATGACATCGCTCTTATCTCTATTAATAAAACACAGAGCCTGCCCGGAGAGGTGAGGAGGATTCTGGGAGGTCACATGACATCGCTCTTATCTCTATTAATAAAAAACAGACCTGACCGGAGAGGTGAGGAGGATTCTGGGAGATCACATGACATCACTCTTATCTCTATTAATAAAACACAGACCTGACCGGAGAGGTGAGGAGGATTCTGGGAGTCTATCATGATATTCTTATTGGTTCTTCAATACAGAGATTTCCTCTTCTGAAGTCAGGTGATCATATGACCATCACAGTGCCTCCATGTGACTCCCTAAAACCTGAGAGACACAACATGCAGAAGATTCTAGAAGTCACCAAGAAGATGATGGAGCTGCTGACAGGAGAGGTGAGCGGTGCCGGGAATTCTGGGACATTCTCCAGTAACAGACAAGGGATGTGTCTGGATGGTGACTGTATCATTGTGTGTGTCAGGTTCCTATAAGGTGTCAGGGTGTCACTGTCTATTTCTCCATGGAGGAGTGGGAGTATTTAGAAGGACACAAGGATCTCTACAAGGACGTCATGATGGACAATCAGCCGCCCCTCACATCACCGGGTAAGAGGAGACTTTATTGTAAAGGAGAGAGCAGTACGGAGGATCCACCTAGATCCCCCATCATCTGATAAACACATAGAAACAATGGATTCAGTCAGTGTGTGTGTTTCCTACAGATGGATCCAGTCATGGGAACCCACCAGAGAGATGTCCCCGTCCTCTGTATTCCCGGGATTCCACACAGGAAGGTCACACCATCCCTCATCATCATCAGGTAGATGAGGAACAATCACTGATAGTATCATTAGGATCTGTACATTATCTGCATTGTTACCATTGATGTCATTTTATTATATATTCAGAGTGGAAACCTGAGAGATCCTAAAGTTGATGTTGAAGAAGAGATAAAAGAGGAGGATGATGAGGATGATGGGGTGATAGAGGTGTCAAAATTTCCAAAAGAACACAAAGATCTGTACCCAAACAACAACATGGTGGAGTCATCCAGCTACAGGAACCCACCAGAGAGCTGTCCTCGTCCTCTGTATTCCCGGGATTCCAAACAGGAAGAACACACCATCCCTCACCATCATCAGGTAAATAAATAATGATTGACTATTGGTAGTTATGATTTATACACAGTATGTTTGTCACAATAAATGTGTGATTATTTATCCAGAATGTAAACAGTGGAGATAATCATATTGGTATTAAAGAGGAGTATAAAGAGGAGGATGAGGAGTATGGTGTGTTGGAGGAGTGTTCAGAAAGACACAAGGATATGATGGAGCCACCCAATGCCAGGAACCCACCAGAAAGATGTCCCCGTCCTCTGTGTTCCAGGGATTCCACACAAGAAGATCACACTATCCCTCCTAATGATCAGGTAGGTGGAGTTGAGGGTCTGGAACATAAAGTCATTGAACACTCTGACATGTGGAGACAATGTGTGGACTCTACTAGGTATGATCTTTGGGTTCAGGTTGACCATGAGTTTGACCCAAACCCAAGTTATTTGCAACTTGCAAATTTGGCCAGTTTGCCTGCCTGTCTAATTTCCAACTGCTGAAGTCCAAAGTAATTCAATTAATGGTGTTATAGCTGTCAACAATAAATGTTCACTTCCCTCTCAGGGTTATGGTTGCCAGGATTCTAGCAGCCTCTGGCATCCTCAATGATGCCGTGCAAACCAGCCTCCGACATCTCAGTAATCGATGCTGCGTGAACCACACAGACTCTTTGGTTGCTAAGACACAGTCGCCTAACATCATTGGTTATGGTGAATGCGCTGTCCAGGATTCTAGCAACTAATAATGGGGTAACCCATTTGTTATGGAGTAGCAACAGAAGATCACATGTCAAAAGGAGAAGAGGAACACACACCAGGAGAAAGCCGGATCTAGTGTATGATGAATAGGCTTCAGTTTGTCTTCTCCTAAGCAATGCCCCTCTAACATGTTTCGCCCTCTCAAAGGCTTAATCATTGGGCTCTCAGCCCTTTAGAACCTAGCACCTGGCAGTGTCTGGAGTCATCAGATAGATACACTGGGGCTTAGATCTGCGTTTTTTTTATGTGGGTCACAAGGAGAAGTCCACTGTTGCGTGAGTTGAGATGTTTATCACAGCAAATCATCGGGGTGTCATTCATTGTGATTGACTTGGATCTTCTTCATTAGATGATATTATTAGAGTTAGATTTACTTTGTGGGACTTTTTTGGGGTGATGGGGTGCTATGTACAATAATCAGAGATGTTATTTTCTGCCATTCTGTTGGTTTAGGGTGAAGATCTGATAAAGATGAAAGTTGAGGGTGAAGTTCAAGAGATGTATGTGAGGGATGATCAGCAATATACCGGAGGAGGCTTGGATGACCAGGATATTTAAAGAGGAGGACACTCCTACAGAGATCAGCACAGGTGAGCCACAATATATTCTTCTGTTATCTCTGTCCTTTAATGGGCCAGTAAGAGGTCCTGCTGGTTGTAGCTCCACCCCAGGTTGATGCCCAGTTTGTGGGCTTTCCTTTAGCACTGAAACCACCTCCCTTCCATTCTGCAGCCCTGTACCTGCTCAATCTTTCCTCTGCTGCCTTATTTGTATTGATCAGGAGAGAAGAGAGGAAGAGGAGGCGCTTCCAGTTCCTCTCTTCTCCCCTGATCTATTCACACAGAGCTGGTCCTGCTCCTAAGGATGGCTGTCACCACCATCATGCCTACCCCGGAGACCTTGTTATCAGACTTTGATTCCATTTATACTATATGATATATGTATTAATCATGTGCTGTTGCCATATGCACCCGAGCCATTATCCATCATAGACTTGTATATTTGTGAAATTTATACTCCATTAACTATTTCCCCCCCCCCCCCCCCCCCCCCCTTTTTTGAATTGGAGTTTATATACCCCTGTATAGGGAGAGAGTATCAGTGAGTGCTACCTTAAAATGCAATAGACTGAAGGTATATATATGTATATATATACATATATATAGCCAATTATACTATAAAGCTGCTGATACACCAGAAAAGGTAACCAAGAAAAACCTCCAGCAATACATGTATATCAGGAAAAAAATTGGTGCAGCGCTAAATCATAGCACACGTTAATACACACAATATCGTACTGCTTCAAACATATGTGGATACATGATATACCCTAAAAGGTGATTATTAGTGATAGGATTAGTTCAATATGGTTGTGTGGATCATAGAAAGATCACAATTCCAAGTGAGTGGACGTTCTGATCCGGGAGTGACAGCTGGTGCAAATCAAACAAATGGGTGAAAAACGCACTCACCAGAAGTGCGTTTAAAAAACACAATATTTAATCCTGCGTCACCAGGCCATAGATAGGTCATCAGATCTCGGTTCAGGTACACTCACGAATCACCATCCAAGCTCCACAGAAAAAGGTCACCAGGGTCTGCTACCAGGTATCCTCATCAGGGTCATCTTTTCTCCAGATGGGCACTGCGAATGATAGCACTCACACAGAGTGCCCAATAAGAGACCACATGGCATGATACTGCTTAAGGTACCTTTATTCAAGGACAGTGGGTACCATAGCGAATTTTCAAAAAATTCCAAAAAAGTTACTGACCATGTACAGCTGTATAGCCCTTATCCCTATGACTACGTGCATCGCACGAAACGCGTCAGGGGGGGGGGGGGGGAGCTGCAGCAACTGGACATCCAATCACCGCTGGTGACTATCCTGAATACATGGTCAGTAACCTTTTTGGGAATTTTTTGAAAATTCGCTATTGTACCCACTGTCCTTGAATAAAGGTACCTTAAGCAGTATCACGCTATGTGGTCTCTTATTGGGCACTCCATGTGAGTGCTATCATTCGCAGTGCCCATCCGGAGAAAAGATGACCCTGATGGTGATACCTGGTAGCAGACCCTGGTGACCTTTTTCTGTGGAGCTTGGATGGTGATTCGTGAGTGTACCTGACCCGAGATCTGATGACCTATCTATGGCCTGGTGACGCAGGATTAATTAATGCATATTTTAAACGCACTTCTGGTGAGTGCGTTTTTCACCCATTTGTTTGATTTGCACCAGCTGTCACTCCCGGATCAGAACGTCCACTCACTTGGAATTGTGATCTTTCTATGATCCACACAACCATATTGAACTAATCCTATCACTAATAATCACCTTTTAGGTGATATCACGTATCCACATATGTTTGAAGCAGTACGATATTGTGTGTATTAACGCGTGTTATGATTTAGCACTGCACCAATTTTTTTCTTATATACCCGTGAACCAGAACTTCTCTCCCATGCCTTCTTTGTATTGCAAAACCTTTCCAGTAGAAGAACTGTAATAGGATTGAGACCAGACCCAGCCGCCAGCTATTCCAGGGAGAGAAACTAGTCTAGCAGCTGTCGACTTATGTTGTTTTGAATGTTGACATATGGAGACTATTAGTCTTCACAAGATCACAAGCCAGCGACTACACTAGTCTCCCTTGGAAAACTGAGCCCAGACCTGACTACCAGCTCTATCTGTTAGAGAGACTAGTGTAGTAGCTGGCATGTGTTTTGTCAGCTTGTGTTTTTTGTAAATGACAGCGATCTTGGCCAGCTGCTGTCATTTTACAACAATACAAGCTGACAGTTGCTACTCCGCTCCACCTTCCATGAAGCAGTAGGATGAGTCTTGGCTTATTCTCAGGTCTTAAATAGGAAATAGTTGAGGATGAACTTGAACAGTGAAAAATACCTTGTGCTTTGTGTCTCTTGGGGAAATTTAACCACTTGACCTCCAGAGGATTTACCCCCCTTAATGACCAGGCCTATTTTTGCTACTCGGCGCTGCACTAATTCAACTGATAATTGCGCGGTCATGCAATGCTGCACCCAAACAAAATTTACGTCCTTTTTTTAACACAAATAGAGCTTTCTTTCGGTGGTATTTGATCACCTGTGCGCTTTTTATTTTTCACGCTATAAACAAAAAAAAAAGGCCAAAAATTTTGAGGAAAAACAATATTTTTTACTTTCAGCTATAAAAAATATATAGTAAACTCAAAGTTGGTTATAAATTTAGGCCAAAATGTATTCTGCTCCATGTTTTTGGTAAAAAAAATCCCAATAAGTGTATATTGATTGCTTTGTGTGAAAGTTATAGCGTCTACAAACTATGGGATAGATACTGCAATTTACAAAAAAATTTTTGCTATAGAGCGCTGCGCTAGTTTAACGGACAATTGCACGGTCATGCAATACGGTACATAAATGGAATTTACATCCTTTTTGTCCCACAAATTGAGCTTTCTTTCGATGGTATTTGATCGCTGTGCGGTTTTTATTTTTTTTGCGCTATAAAAAAAAAGGATGACAATTTTGAGGAAAAAAACAATATTTTGGACTCGCCGCCGATCGCCGGGACATAGCCAGTAAGGACCGGCTGTGACCCGGCGACTGACATCCGTGGCTGTGATCAGCGGGACAGGTAGGGCGGCGGCGCGCCTCACGCGCGCCCCCTACCTGTTTTCAAAACACACGTTTTAAAACGTGCTTTTGCCCAGCCGTGCCGCCCTGCCGCCGTATTTCTACAGTGACTGGGCGGCATGTGGTTAACAAGCTTTAATATCTCTGATAACACTGTTCAACAAATTTTTATTTTTTGCCAGTTTTGGAAACAAAAGGATCCATTTCTTAATGAATTTCACATTCTGAGTTCAAATATAACAATGAAATTTGTCAATTGGCTCTAGTTTTTCTGTAAACGGAAAGTTTTCTACTAAGGCGTAATGACTACATAATGCACAATAATTATATAGATAGATGTCTTTCCACAAATATAAAGCAAGTGATATTGACTACATAACAAAGCCTAAATGGCATAATATATTGCATAGGATTACCAAGAAAAATTATAGCCATAAGCTAAGTTGAATCATTTTAATACTTAGGATTCTCACTAGTTTTGTCTTTAGTTTGTGTCGGTTTTGCTTCTCTTGGCTTTTCTCTTGTATTCGAGGAAAGGGCTATCTCTTACAACTGTCCAGCAATAGTCAGCAAGCATTGATGGGCTCCATTTACCTTGATATCTTCTTTCCATAGCTGCAATGTCTTGATGGAAGCGCTCTCCGTGTTCATCACTCACTGCTCCACAGTTTGGTGGGAAAAAATCCAGATGCGAATGTAGAAAATGAATTTTTAGAGACATGTTTTTAGAGAATTTTTAGAGACATTTTTAGAGACTCTCCAAATCATTGGCACAGCGAAAGGCATAGATGCCTTTTTTCCATTCAACCATTGCTCCAGTGCCGTCCCACAAGAATTGCAGCATATATGTGGTGCCCAGCTCTTGTCCTGGTCTCCTATCTTGCAGCCAAAATACAAGTTGTAGGCTTTCTTAATCATTCCTGTTATCCTCCTTTTTTCTGAGATAAAAGTTATTTCACCGCAGATATAGCAGAAATTATCTGCTTTATTCACACAAGTTCGAGGCATTACTGAGTAGCCTATATAAGCATAAAAACGAAATGTAAAGACGCTGTCCAACTACAAACAGCTACAGATACTGCAGCTTTTATGCAGTGAAGTGATGCAATTAAAGGCTAATATTGCATCATCTCAGTATACATGCAATTTTCTATTGGTCACCAGTATCAATTGCGCAATATGCAGCTGAAGTTGCATCATAATTTTGAATGGCGTACGTCATTAGATGGGTGAATATATCATGGAAACTAGAGCAAATCAACATTTTTTAGGGTCATTTTTGTTTTCAGCACCCCAAAATTATGTAAGATTAGCTAATTTTATGCCTAAACTTTTTACCTGTTGAACAGTGTAATACTTCTTTTAGGTGAACTCACCCTCTCATGTTGATTGTTTATGGTTTTGTATTTTTTCCAGGATCTGCCATCGAGATACTCTCCAAGGATCATCTCCCTTTATCTCCAGGGTGTAAAATGGAAGAGGAGGACATCACCCCAGATTGTCTTTTCTCCTACCCAATGACTTCAAAGATCAATGATGGCTTTCACAGTGCGGATAGACCATTGAACCCCTCTGACTCCGAGCAGCTTAATCTCATGAGGGATGGTGCCAGAATCAAGAGCGAAAATAATTTTTTTATCCTGAATATGAGGAAAGTGTTAGTTCTGAATTAAGTCGCCAGCAAAGCTCAGACGAGCTCTATACCTGTTCTGAGTGTGGGCATTGTTCACAGAAATCAGGACTCGCTCTTCATTACAATTCTCTTACAAAGGAGAGGTCCTATTCCTGCCCCTGCCCCGAGTGTGGGAAAGATTTTTCAGAGACCTCCCATTTTCACACAGAGAGGTTTCAAATAGGTGACAAGCCGTTTTCCTGCCCTGAGTGTGGGAAATGTTTTTCAGGGAAGGCCTACCTTATGGTACATCTGAGGTCTCACACAGGGGAGAGGCCTTTTTCCTGCCCTGAGTGTGGGAAAGGGTTTTCACGGAAGTCCATTCTCAACATGCATCGCAGGTCTCACACGGGGGACAGGCCTTACGCCTGCCCTGAGTGCGGGAAATGTTTTTTACAGAAAAAACATCTTAACACACATCAGAAGTCTCACACGGGTGAAAAGCCACATTCCTGCCTTGAGTGCGGGAAATGTTTTTCAGAGAAGTCACCTCTCCGTAGACATCAGAGGATTCACACAGGGGAGAGGCCATATTCCTGCCCTGAGTGCTGGAAATGTTTTGCACAGAAATCAGACCTTGATAGACATCAAAGATCTCACCGAGGGGAGAAGCCGTATTCCTGCTCTGAGTGCGGGAAATGTTTTTCAGAGAAGTCCAGCCTTAACAAACATCAGAGAACACACTTGGGTGAGAAGCCCTATTCCTGCCCCGAGTGCGGGAAATGTTTTGCACAGAAATCAGATGTGGGTAGACATCAAAGGTCTCACAGAGGGGAGAAGCCGTTTTCCTGCCCTGTGTGCTGGAAATGTTTTTCACAGAAGGCCAATCTTTACAAACATCAGCGATCTCACATAGCGGCGAAGTTGTAGTTCAGTTGTGCAGGAAATGTTTTAAACAGAAGTTTTACTGTCCCTTTCCGAATATCAGAGATTTTTACACAGGGAAAAATCCACATTCCTGCCCTGTGTGCAGGAAATTTCTTTCCCACAAACTCCATCCTTTTTTAGTTATTAAAAATCCCGTACAAGTCATGAGGTTTCCTGAGTGCAGGAAATGTTTTCTATATGAGTCCTATTTTGCTGTACATCAGAGATCTCACACTGGGAGGGAGCACAGCTTCGTATACACCTCAGAAAACTCTGATCTTTCTATTGTAAGCAGCGCTTCATAGGCTCACCGGCAAAGTTCTGTCTTGCATATTCTGCGAGGAATGTGGAACAGGGGAAATGTTACTACTAGATAAGTTCCTCCTGCAGTGTATTCTGATCTCCCCTGCTCTTCATTAGAACCATCAAAGGCTAAGATATTGCTTCTGGATGAAGAGGAAGGGAGACCATGCCAAACAACAGAATGGACAATTTCAGTGCTGGAGTTGTGCTAATAGTCTGTATATACTTGGAGTGCCACCTGCTGGCTGAAAATGGTTTATATGACATTTTCAGATGTAACTCTTCCTATTTACATACAATAAAAAATAATGATTAAAGTCCTTCAGGGTGCAACACAAACTTACTGAATTGCAATAATCAGAATTCCATGTCTAGGTTTGTCTTTTTCCTGGCCATTGCTACCTACGAAGGAATATTGCTGCATTGTACCAGTACTTCATTCACAAAGACCCGATTCGCACTAATGCGGTGCGGGAAATGCAGCCAATCCTGTGTGTTTCCTGCACCACAATGCGATCTGGTACAGGTGTCATTGGTAAACTAACGACACCCCGAAACATCGCAACACGTAGTGCGATTACCAGAAATCGCATCGCATGGATGTGAATGCCCATGCGAAGCGAAGCAGGTGCGGGGAAAAAAAAGGGTCCTGCACCTTTTTTGGTGTGGATGCAATGCGATTTGAGATATACAAAATGTATGCCTCAAATCGCACCGCACAAACATCGCATGCGATGCGATTCCTGTGTGAATTACATGCGTTGTTTTACAAGTGTGAACTTAGGCTACGGGTCACCAGCTTACAATCTGATATCCCATATCCATAAAATGAGTCTGTAGATGCAGTAAAGCATGCATGTTATACTCCCTTTTGGAACCTAAGGGGTTAATCCTCCACACTGTGTAAAATGGCTGTTTGATCCTGTCTTCTCTGATTCTCCCCTTCTTCCAGTGCCCCCTCTTATCTCCTGATGAGATATAGCATGTGAAGTCACTCTGCACATGCTACGTTTGGTGTGTATTGCTAGAGACATTTTTTGTTTTCTTAGGAGAGTGCATGTGATCAGCACAGGGCCAAATAGCACTGTCCAGACAGAGGTCAGGGGTTCTGTATCTTCCTAGAGCAGAATGAAAACTCCTCTTACAAGCTTTAACCAGTGCTCTGCTGGACACTGATATTGCATTTCCATGTTCTGTGTACTGTGGGAGACCAGATGTGTATACTGCAAATGGGAATTCTTGGCTTTCTCCAACAATGGCTTTCTTCTTGCCACTCTTCCATACAGGCAGATTTCTGCAGCGCACGACTAATAGCTGTCCTGTGGACAGATTCTCCCCCCCCGAGCTGTGGATCTCTGCAGCTCCTCCAGAGTTCCCATGGGCCTCTTGGCTGCTTCTCTGATGAATGCTCTCCTTGCCCAGCCTGTCAGTATAGGTGGTCGGCCATGTCTTGGTAGGTTTGCAGTTGTGCCGTACTCTTTCCATTTTCAGATGATGGATTGAACAGTCCTCTGTGAGATGGTCAAAGCTTGGGAGAGGTTTTTTTTATAACCTAACCCTGCTTTAACCACTTGCCTACCGGGCACTTCTACCCCCTTCCTGCCTACCGGGCACTTCTACCCCCTTCCTGCCTACAGGACACTTCTACCCCCTTCCTGCCTACAGGGCGCTTCTACACCCTTCCTGCCTACCGGGCGCTTCTACCCCCTTCCTGCCTACAGGGCACTTCTACCCCCTTCCTGCCTACAGGGCACTTCTACCCCCTTCCTGCCTACCGGACACTTCTACCCCCTTCCTGCCTACAGGACACTTCTACCCCCTACCTGCCTACAGGCACTTCTACCCCCTTCCTGCCTACAGGGCACTTCTACACCCTTCCTGCCTACTGGGCACTTCTACCCCCTTCCTGCCTACAGGACACTTCTACCCCTTCCTGCCTACAGGGCACTTCTACACCCTTCCTGCCTACCGGGCACTTCTACCCCCTTCCTGCCTACAGGGCACTTCTACCCCCTTCCTGCCTACCGGGCACTTCTACACCCTTCCTGCCTACAGGACACTTATACCCCCTTCCTGCCTACAGGACACTTCTACCCCCTTCCTGCCTACAGGGCACTTCTACCCCCTTCCTGCCTACCAGGGCACTTCTACCCCCTTCCTGCCTACAGGACACTTCTACCCCCTTCCTGCCTACAGGACACTTCTACCCCCTTCCTGCCTACAGGGCACTTCTACCCCCTTCCTGCCTACAGGGCACTTCTACCCCCTTCCTGCCTACAGGGCACTTCTACCCCCTTCCTGCCTACAGGGCACTTCTACCCCCTACAGGGCACTTCCCCCCTGCCTACAGGGCACTTCTACCCCTTCCTGCCTACCGGGCGCTTCTACACCCTTCCCGCCTACAGGGCGCTTCTACCCCCTTCCCGCCTACAGGACACTTCTACCCCCTTCCCGCCTACCGGACACTTCTACCCCCTTCCCCTTCCCGCCTACCGGACACTTCTACCCCCTTCCCGCCTACCGGACACTTCTACCCCCTCCCGCCTACAGGACACTTCTACCCCCTTCCCGCCTACCGGGACACTTCTACCCCCTTCCCGCCTACAGGGCACTTCTACCCCCTTCCCGCCTACAGGACACTTCTACCCCCTTCCTGCCTACAGGGCACTTCTACCCCCTTCCTGCCTACAGGGCACCTCTACCCCCTTCCTGCCTACAGGGCACCTCTACCCCCCCTTCCTGCCTACAGGACACTTCTACCCCCCCCTTCCTGCCTACAGGACACTTCTACCCCCTTCCTGCCTACTGGGCACTTCTACCCCCTTCCTGCCTACAGGGCACTTCTACCCCCTTCCCGCCTACAGGGCACTTCTACCCCCTTCCCGCCTACAGGACACTTGTACCCCCTTCCTGCCCAGGCCAATTTTCAGCTTTTAGCGCTGTTGCACTTTGAATGACAATTGCGCGGTCATGCAACACTATATATAAAAAAAAAAAAAGTTTTTGGACAAAATGTGATTGATTATACTCGTGAGCCAAAATGTGATACTCCCCTTAACGTGATGAGTAAATAACTAGAATCATATATAACTAATGGTGCATCAGCACTTTACACACTACTCATTATCTGTGCCAAAACATAAGCATAAAACATGATATGTATCTACTTATACATATACGTGCCGCGCTCCATAATAAACTGAACAACTCATATACTAGTGATAATACAAACAATAACGTGAACAAAATAAATGTGCTTCAAGCAAGTGCAACATATAGTGCATATCAAAAAATAATGTTCATCCAATCTTTAAACCGGTTTTATAAACAGTCCTCTTTATACTTCTATAATATTTCAGTGACAAGTGAGGTGTATTGTGCCACACTCCCCGTGCTCTGTGGATAGGTGTGCGCTCACCTCCTTGTTAGCCAGACAAGCTGGCTAAACACACTTTTTTGTCCTCACAGGACAAGGTGGGGGTCTTTACTTTATATGCGTGTCTCCATCCATATTATGGGTTGCCTTATTTCTGCCACCAGAGGTCTCCTTCCTTCCACACTTTAGCCTCAATAGGTTTCTTTAGGGGTGGTTAAGATGATCTTTCCTCCTCCAGCACTAGTCCTCGCACGCCCGTCCTATAACGGGCTATAAGCGGGAGAGGGAGCAACCAGAGGCCGGAGAACATGAGTGGTTCGGGCCGTACCAGGACTTCGCTTACCTAGTCAGAAGACAGCTGAGGACGGGCGTGCGAGGACTAGTGCTGGAGGAGGAAAGATCATCTTAACCACCCCTAAAGAAACCTATTGAGGCTAAAGTGTGGAAGGAAGGAGACCTCTGGTGGCAGAAATAAGGCAACCCATAATATGGATGGAGACACGCATATAAAGTAAAGACCCCCACCTTGTCCTGTGAGGACAAAAAAGTGTGTTTAGCCAGCTTGTCTGGCTAACAAGGAGGTGAGCGCACACCTATCCACAGAGCACGGGGAGTGTGGCACAATACACCTCACTTGTCACTGAAATATTATAGAAGTATAAAGAGGACTGTTTATAAAACCGGTTTAAAGATTGGATGAACATTATTTTTTGATATGCACTATATGTTGCACTTGCTTGAAGCACATTTATTTTGTTCACGTTATTGTTTGTATTATCACTAGTATATGAGTTGTTCAGTTCATTATGGAGCGCGGCACGTATATGTATAAGTAGATACATATCATGTTTTAAAAAAAAGTTTTTATTGTTTTTGTGAGACAGTTTTCTTTTGGTGGTATTTAATCACCACTGGGGGGGGGGGTTATTTTTGCTAAAACTAAAAAAGACAGAAAATTTTGAAAAAAAAAGGTTTTTCTTAGTTTCTCTTATAAAATGTTGTAAATAAGTATTTTTTCTCTTTCACTGATGTGCGCTAATGAGCCTACACTGATAGGTGGCACTGAGGAGGAGGCACTGATGGGCATTGACAGGTATCACTGAAAGGCAGCATTCATATATGGCACTGATAGGCAGCACTGAATGGTACTGTTAGGGCACTGATAGGTGGTACTAATTGGAACTGTTACTGCACTGATAGGCAGCACTAACTGGCACTGATGGGCACTGTTAGGTGGCACTCACTGGCACTGATAGGCAGCACTGACGGCATTGATAGTTGGCACTGAAAGGCAGCTCTAATGGGCACTGGTATGTGCCAATTA